AGACTGTGACCTAAGATGACTTTGAACAAGACTGTGACCTTAGATGACTATGAACAAGACTGTGACCTAAGATGACTATGAACAAGACTGTGACCTAAGATGACTATGAACAAGACTGTGACCTTAGATGACTCTGAACAAGACTGTGACCTTAGACGACTATGAACAAGACTGTGACCTAAGATGACTCTGAACAAGACTGTGACCTTAGATGACTATGAACAAGACTGTGACCTTAGATGACTATGAACAAGACTGTGACCTTAGATGACTATGAACAAGTCTATGACCTTAGATGACCATGAACAAAACTGTGACCTTAGATGACTCTGAACAAGACTATGACCTTAAATAACTATGAACAAGACTGTGACCTAAGATGACTATGAACAAGTCTGTGACCTTAGATGACTATGAACAAAACTGTGACCTTAGATGACTATGAACAAGACTGTGACCTTAGATGACTATGAACAAAACTGTGACCTTAGATGACTATGAACAAGACTGTGACCTTAGATGACTATGAACAAGACTGTGACCTAAGATGACTCTGAACAAGACTGTGACCTTAGATGACTCTGAACAAGACTGTCACCTTAGATGACTATGACCAAGACTGTGACCTTAGATGACTCTGAACAAGACTGTCACCTTAGATGACTATGACCAAGACTGTGACCTTAGATGACTTTGAACAAGACTGTGACCTTAGATGACTATGAACAAGACTATGACCTTAGATGACTTTGAACAAGACTGTGACCTTAGATGACTCTGAACAAGACTGTCACCTTAGATGACTATGACCAAGACTGTGACCTTAGATGACTTTGAACAAGACTGTGACCTTAGATGACTATGAACAAGACTATGACCTTAGATGACTATGAACAAGATTATGACCTTAGATGACTATGAACAAGACTGTGACCTTAGATGACTATGAACAAGACTGTGACCTAAGATGACTCTGAACAAGACTGTGACCTTAGATGACTATGAACAAGACTGTGACCTAAGATGACTCTGAACAAGACTGTGACCTTAGATGACTATGAACAAGACTATGACCTTAGATGACTATGAACAAGATTATGACCTTAGATGACTATGAACAAGACTGTGACCTTAGATGACTATGAACAAGACTGTGACCTAAGATGACTATGAACAAGACTGTGACCTAAGATGACTTTGAAAAAGACTGTGACCTTAGATGACTATGAACAAGACTGTGACCTAAGATGACTATGAACAAGACTGTGGCCTAAGATGACTATGAACAAGACTGTGACCTTAGATGACTCTGAACAAGACTGTGACCTTAGATGACTATGAACAAGACTGTGACCTAAGATGACTCTGAACAAGACTGTGACCTTAGATGACTATGAACAAGACTGTGACCTAAGATGACTCTGAACAAGACTGTGACCTTAGATGACGATGAGCAAGTCTGTGACCTCAGATGACTCTGAACAAGACTGTGACCTAAGATGACTCTGAACAAGACTGTGACCTAAGATGACTCTGAACAAGACTGTGACCTTAGATGACTATGAACAAGACTGTGACCTTAGATGACTATGACCAAGACTGCGACCTTAAATAACTATGAATAAGACTGTGACCTAAGATGACTCTGAACAAGACTGTGACCTAAGATGACTCTGAACAAGTCTATGACCTTAGATGACCATGAACAAAACTGTGACCTTAGATGACTATGACCAAGACTGCGACCTTAAATGACTCTGAACAAGACTGTGACCTAAGATGACTCTGAACAAGACTGTGACCTTAGATGACTATGACCAAGACTGTGACCTCAGATGACTCTGAACAAGACTGTGACCTGAGATGACTATGAACAAGACTGTGACCTTAGATGACTATGAACAAGACTGTGACCTTAGATGACTATGAACAAAACTGTGACCTTAGATGACTATGAACAAGACTGTGACCTAAGATGACTCTGAACAAGACTGTGACCTTAGATGACTATGAACAAGACTGTGACCTTAGATGACTATGAACAAGACTGTGACCTTAGATGACTATGAACAAGACTGTGACCTTAGATGACTATGAACAAGACTGTGACCTTAGATGACTATGAACAAGACTGTGACCTAAGATGACTCTGAACAAGACTGTGACCTTAGATGACTATGAACAAGACTGTGACCTAAGATGACTCTGAACAAGACTGTGACCTTAGATGACTATGAACAAGACTGTGACCTTAGATGACTATGAACAAGACTGTGACCTTAGATGACTATGAACAAGACTGTGACCTTAGATGACTATGAACAAGACTGTGACCTAAGTGACTATGAACAAGACTGTGACCTAAGTGACTATGAACAAGACTGTGACCTTAGATGACTCTGAACAAGACTGTGACCTTAAATGACTCTGAACAAGACTGTGACCTAAGATGACTATGAACAAAACTGTGACCGTAGATGACTATGAACAAGACTGTGACCTTAGATGACTATGAACAAGACTGTGACCTTAGATGACTCTGAACAAGACTGTGACCTTAGATGACCATGAACAAGACTGTGACCTTAGATGACTCTGAACAAGACTGTGACCTTAGATGACTCTGAACAAGACTGTGACCTAAGATGACTATGAACAAGTCTGTGACCTTAGATGACTATGAACAAAACTGTGACCGTAGATGACTATGAACAAGACTGCGACCTTAGATGACTATGAACAAGACTGTGACCTTAGATGACTATGAACAAGACTGTGACCTTAGATGACTATGAACAAGACTGTGACCTAAGTGACTATGAACAAGACTGTGACCTTAGATGACTATGAACAAAACTGTGACCGTAGATGACTATGAACAAAACTGTGACCTTAGATGACTATGAACAAGACTGCGACCTTAGATGACTCTGAACAAGACTGTGACCTTAGATGACTATGAACAAGACTGTGACCTAAGTGACTATGAACAAGACTGTGACCTTAGATGACTCTGAACAAGACTGTGACCTTAGATGACTATGAACAAGACTGTGACCTTAGATGACTATGAACAAGACTGTGACCTAAGTTACTATGAACAAGACTGTGACCTTAGATGACTATGAACAAAACTGTGACCGTAGATGACTATGAACAAAACTGTGACCTTAGATGACTATGACCAAGACTGTGACCTAAGATGACTCTGAACAAGACTGTGACCTAAGATGACTATGAACAAGACTGTGACCTTAGATGACTATGAACAAGACTGACCTTAGATGACTATGAACAAAACTGTGACCGTAGATGACTATGAACAAGACTGCGACCTTAGATGACTATGAACAAGACTGTGACCTTAGATGACTATGAACAAGACTGTGACCTTAGATGACTATGAACAAGACTGTGACCTAAGTGACTATGAACAAGACTGTGACCTTAGATGACTATGAACAAAACTGTGACCGTAGATGACTATGAACAAAACTGTGACCTTAGATGACTATGAACAAGACTGCGACCTTAGATGACTCTGAACAAGACTGTGACCTTAGATGACTATGAACAAGACTGTGACCTAAGTGACTATGAACAAGACTGTGACCTTAGATGACTCTGAACAAGACTGTGACCTTAGATGACTATGAACAAGACTGTGACCTTAGATGACAATGAACAAGACTGTGACCTAAGTTACTATGAACAAGACTGTGACCTTAGATGACTATGAACAAAACTGTGACCGTAGATGACTATGAACAAAACTGTGACCTTAGATGACTATGACCAAGACTGCGACCTAAGATGACTCTGAACAAGACTGTGACCTAAGATGACTATGAACAAGACTGTGACCTTAGATGACTATGAACAAGACTGTGACCTTAGATGACTATGAACAAGACTGTGACCTAAGATGACTATGAACAAGACTGTGACCTTAGATGACTATGAACAAGACTGTGACCTTAGATGACTATGAACAAGACTGTGACCTAAGATGACTATGAACAAGACTGTGACCTTAGATGACTATGAACAAGACTGTGACCTCAGATGACTCTGAACAAGACTATGACCTCAGATGACTCTGAACAAGACTGTGACCTCAGATGACGATGAGCAAGTCTGTGACCTCAGATAAACGTTCTGCTGTGTGTTTGTAGAGTGTTTACCTGCTTCCTCTAAGAATGTGAGCTTGGGTCAGATACTTGCTCATGTTTAACATATTATGAAAACACTTCCTGTAATCTGCCTTTTTGACATATTTCTGCCTTATCTATCCATTCAGTGTTCTCTAAGTCAAGAACATGCATGTGTTGAAATGGAGAGTCAAGTTATGATTCATAGGAACCTATCAATATTTTTCATAACAATTTCTAAACATTGTGTTCATTTCTTAAATTATCCAAATCATGTGGGCCATACCTTGTCCTTTGTGAACTGAAATTAGTTCTGGCAACTAAAAAACTGCAGTTACCTCTTGGCCCATTACTTACATGTTTGAGTCATATATAGCCAAACAAACAAACATATTGGAGCTTTGAGAGCACAGGTAGCTTATCTGTACAGATTTGCCTCCCTTTTATGTGTCTGCATCCTCACGTTGGGATGTGTAAATGATGTTTGCCATGGGTCACTAAGAAACATGTTTTCATGGTGATTTTGTTATTTTCTGTCTGTGTAGGTTCATTCATCCTTGGGATCGTCATATTCATACTATTAGAAACTATGATTTAGTAATCCTATGTAGGTTAGAACTCTCTGAATAGTTCTGAAAATGATGAAAGTCTCCTTTATATTAAAATGTAACAACTTTACTTTTTCTGAAAATATGTTCATTTCAGAGACTAGATTTATTATTTGTTCCTTGCTGTAAAGTTTTACAGCAGTTTCTTTGAAAGTCTGTATGAAGGTGCTTGTCTTTGTTTTACGGGATGTGAAAATGTAGAAATGAAAATATAACCTTCTGGTATTGATATTTCAAACAGATGCAATGCAAGTTCAACAGAGTTGTCTCCCTTCTTCTCCCTTGGCTCGTGCATGGAAGGTCTCAACAACTTGTTCCACAGTCTCTACAACGTCACACTGCAGCGGCAGAAAACACAGCCGGGGGAGTGCTGGTCACATGACATTCATAAGCTGGTGAGACAATTTCTGTATTAACAGTTTTATGCTTAAAGGATAAGGGATCATAAGCATCCTTTTGGGCCAACATTGAATGCCTAGTAATTTCATTGGTCGGTCAAAGTTCGCGAAAGAACGTTCTGACGTGACCTGTAATAGGATGTCCTCAGCGGTAGAAAGAACTTGTATCCCATTTTAATGAGATTGAGGTAATATTGGCAAGTGATTAATCCTGTTTTGTTTATTTACAGCAGTAATTGTTTATTGTTAAGCAAGTTTATCTCTGCAGCCGTTTAGATATGAGGCTTCTTGCCAACTTGTCTCACATCAAAACACAGGGCTGTGTACTGGCGGGCAGATGACCACAGAGTATGTTAATCACTGTGTCAGATTAATGAGACTGATTAATGAGTGATTTCAGCAATTCGTTGCAAATTAGGTGTGTTGGAGTGCGAGACTGTCGGATTAACGGGTCTAAATAGCATGGATTTAATCGGTTCCCATCATTTATGTTGGATAAAGTCGATTGTCGGATTAACAAGTGTCGGATTAACGAGACTTGACTGTAGTTAATCTGTCATGGCATTTGAGTAGTATAGAGGGGATATCAATGTTCCCTTGAAGAAAATCAACCACTGACACCCTGAAGTTTGACTGTAAGATTGTCAGTAATATGTACCATGCAATCTACTATTTTGACAAATTTAATTATTTTGCATCCCACAGGACTCACAGTTTAAATCATTTCCATCCATTCCATTTGTGTGACTAGGACAAAATATTGTTTTTGGGTAAAACCACCACCCATATTTGATTTGGTTGGTTGGTTTGTTGTTTAACGCCACACTCAGCAATATTCCAGCTATATGACGGCGGTCTTTAAATAATCGTGAGAGGCGACTAACAGGATCGGGTGACATGGTTGATGCCTGTCATCAATCCCAATTGCTTGGATTGATGCTTATGATATTGATCACTGGATTTTCTGGTCCACACCCATATTTGAGGTCAGCCAAACTTTTGGAAATTGTCATGACAGTAGATGTGATTATGTGAATGAGAATTATACTCATTTCATGCACTTTACACAAAATGTAGAGGGGAGGCTTAACCTCATCTTGTGTTGTGATGTAAGCAGTTTTCAGGAACATGTTTCTTAAGAATTTGACTTTCACTTTGTGTGAGTTCATTGGGGTATGAACATTAATAACACTATCCACTTTATGATAAATGATTGACCAAGTACACACATACCCTGTTTCAGGCAGTGGTTCACAAGGCTTGCATCAATAACACTATCCACTTTATGATAAATGATTGACCAAGTACACACATACCCTGTTTCAGGCAGTGGTTCACAAAGCTTGCATCAATAACACTATGCACTTTATGATAAATGATTGACAAGGTACACACATACTATGTTTCAGGCAGTGGTTCACAAGGCTTGCATCAATAATACATGTACTATCCACTATATGATGAATGATTGACCAGGTACACACATACCATGTTTCAGGCAGTGGTTCACGAAGCTTGCATCAATAACACAATCCACTTTATGACAAATGATTGACCAGGTACACACATACCATGTTTCAGGCAGTGGTTCACAAGGCTTGCTTCAATAATACTATCCACTATTTGATGAATGATTGACCGGGTACACACATACCATGTTTCAGGCAGTGGTTCACAAGGCTTGCATCAATAATACTATCCACTATATGATGAATGATTGACCAGGTACACACATACCATGTTTCAGGCAGTGGTTCACAAGGCTTGCATCAATAATACTATCCACTATATGATGAATGATTGACCAGATACACACATACCATGTTTCAGGCAGTGGTTCACAAGGCTTGCATCAATAATACTATCCACTATATGATGAATGATTGACCAGGTACACACATACCATGTTTCAGGCAGTGGTTCACAAGGCTTGCATCAATAATACTATCCACTATATGATGAATGATTGACAAGGTACACACATACCATGTTTCAGGCAGTGGTTCACAAGGCTTGCATCAATAATACTATCCACTATATGATGAATGATTGACCAGGTACACACATACCATGTTTCAGGCAGTGGTTCACGAGGCTGAAGGAGTGCAGGGATACATCTACTGTGATTTTTTTGAAAGAGCAGGAAAACCACCCCAGGTACGTGAGAAGTGTTGGAAAGTCAGGATGTAACGTTACGGTCATAAGGTCCCGGCATCCTCGATTATCTGATGTGTTAGATCGCCCATTCTGATATGATCAGTACCCTGGACCTGAACACCACCATCACTGGGGAAGTCATGTCACAAGATCCATCTCTGTGTTCATGAAGGGGCGGTCGGGTAGCCTAGTGGTTAAAGCTTTCACTTGTCACGATGAAGACCCGGGTTCGATTCCCAACATGGGTACAATGTGTGAAGCCAATTTCTGGTGTCCCCCTCCGTGATATTGCTGGAATATTGCTAAAAGCAGCCTAAAACCATACTCACTCACCCTGTTCATGAACGTAGCGCGAAACTCAAGACAGCTTGACATTGATTGCCTGCCTTCAGTGTATTTACTCGAATCATCACAAGTCTGTATTTTTGAGGATTTAGTTTCATCAGGAAAGGTTTTCCTAGAACCAAGACAGAGAAAAGGAGCCCTTATGCTACAAAACGTGTGTGCATGGGTGCATACGTATATTATGTATTATTATCATGATATAGATACAATCTCACCAACTTCCTGGAATTTGTGAAGTGATTGATAGAGACCTACAGGGATGGAGTTCTCCAATGCTTGGTCCGAACTAATTAGCCATTGTGGCTTGTTTGCAGAGTTGTAGCCCTGCTTTGATTTTGACAGGATGTTATTTAACCATTGCCTTTTACCTGCTGTAACTATATACCTTCCGGTGAATCAATGCTGTGACTTCAGTGCTAGTTTTACATGGCATCTCTTTTCCCTTTTCCCCACATTATATCTGGTTCTTTCATTAATAACCTTATTTAGATTATCAGGATTTTTTTCATAATTCTTTTTGGATTTCTTTTCTCATTTTCAGTAACTTGACCATATATGTAGTGTATACAATCTCATTCATTAAAGGGTTGGTGGGGTAGCCTTGTGGTTAAAGTGTTCCCTCGTCACGACAAAGACCAGGTTTGATTCCTGACATGGGTACATTGTGTGAAGCCCATTTCTGGTGTCTCCTGCTGTGATATTGCTGGAATATTGCTAAAAACAGCGTAAAACCATACTCACTCACTCACAACCGAAAAGGATGAATAAAGACAGACGGCGCAGGAACCAAACTTTTTTTTCCGAGACAACCGCAGGTTTGACACATCAGTGTTTGACTGGAATGGAATGTTGCTGCATTCAGCAACAAGAAGCAAAGGGCACAAGAAAAAGAACCTGATTTTGCTGAAATATTGCTTGAAGCAGTGTCAATTCTCAATCACGCATTTCTCACTCGTGCTTTTATTGTTGACAGGACTGCCATTTCACTATCCAAGGAGGCCGAGAGAAGCGAGATGGCAGCTACCAGCTCCCTGTGGTGGTCCTCCAGCTGAACCTGCCACCCCCTCAGTCTCGCTCCCCTTCCTTACTCACCCCCGGGGCCATGGAAAACTTGTTCCATGAGTTTGGCCATGCCATGCACTCCATGCTTGGTCGCACAAAGTACCAGCATGTCACAGGTACTGTATAGTGTTCAGTCTTACTCCCTCCGATAGGGAACTTGTTCCATGAAGTTGGCCATGCCATGCACTCCATGCTTGGTCGCACAAAGTACCAGCATGTCACAGGTACTGTATAGTGTTCAGTCTTACTCCCTCCGATAGTGAACTTGTTCCATGAGGTCGGCCACAATATGTACTCCATGCTTGGTCGCACAAAGTACCAGCATGTCACAGGTACTGTATAGTGTTCAGTCTTACTCCCTCCGATAGGGAACTTGTTCCATGAGGTCGGCCATGCTATGTACTCCATGCTTGGTCGCACAAAGTACCAGCATGTCACAGGTACTGTATAGTGTTCAGTCTTACTCCCTCCGATAGGGAACTTGTTCCATGAGGTCGGCCATGCTATGTACTCTATGCTTGGTCGCACAAAGTACCAGCATGTCACAGGTACTGTATAGTGTTCAGTCTTACTCCCTCCGATAGGGAACTTGTTCCATGAGGTCGGCCATGCTATGTACTCCATGCTTGGTCGCACAAAGTACCAGCATGTCACAGGTACTGTATAGTGTTCAGTCTTACTCCCTCCGATAGGGAACTTGTTCCATGAGGTCGGCCTTGCTATGCACTCCATGCTTGGTCGCACAAAGTACCAGCATGTCCCAGGTACTGTATAGTGGCCATGGAAAACTTGTCCCATGAATTGGGCCATGTAGTCACAGGTACTGCATAGTGTTCAGAGCCTAGCCCCTCTCTAGTGTGGCCATGGAAAACTTGTCCCATGAACTGGGCCATGTAGTCACAGGTACAGCATAGTGTTCAGAGCCTAGCCCCTCTCTAGTGTGGCCATGGAAAACTTGTCCCATGAACTGGGCCATGTAGTGACAGGTACAGCATAGTGTTCAGAGCCTAGCCCCTCTCTTGTGTGGGCATGGAAAACTTGTCCCATGAATTGGGCCATGTAGTCACAGGTATAGCATAGTGTTCAGAGCCTAGCACCTCTCTAGTGTGGCCATGGAAAACTTGTCCCATGAATTGGGCCATGTAGTCACAGGTACAGCATAGTGTTCAGAGCCTAGCCCCTCTCTAGTGTGGCCATGGAAAACCTGTCCCATGAATTGGGCCATGTAGTCACAGGTACAGCATAGTGTTCAGAGCCTAGCCCCTCTCTGGTGTGGCCATGGAAAACTTGTCCCATGAATTGGGCCATGTAGTCACAGGTACAGCATAGTGTTCAGAGCCTAGCCCCTCTCTAGTGTGGCCATGGAAAACTTGTCCCATGAATTGGGCCATGTAGTCACAGGTACAGCATAGTGTTCAGAGCCTAGCCCCTCTCTAGTGTGGCCATGGAAAACTTGTCCCATGAATTGGGCCATGTAGTCACAGGAACAACATAGTGTTCAGAGCCTAGCACCTCTCTAGTGTGGCCATGGAAAACTTGTCCCATGAATTGGGCCATGTAGTCACAGGTACAGCATAGTGTTCAGAGCCTAGCCCCTCTCTAGTGTGGCCATGGAAAACTTGTCCCATGAATTCGACAGTGCATGTTCCAAGTCGGTGTACTGTCATCCTGGACAACAACTTGAATGGAGGAAAGTGAAAAGCTCTGATGGCCATGGTAGCACCACACTATCCACAACAGATAGAATGATTTCCGCTCCAAATAATTCATTGGCAATGATAGCTTAATATAGTCTTTGCCACTGAAATTCTCATCTGGCTATTTCATTCCTTTATGAACCTTAGCACTCTCCATTTCTGTTCACCAGTGGGCGGTGGGGTACCGTAACTTAGTGGCTGGAGAGTTCGCTTGTCATGCTAAGGCCTGTGTTCAATGTGTGAAGCTCATTTTTTTGTCCCTATGATTATGCTAAATGAGGCATAAACACCCAAATCACTCACTCATTTCACCAAAAAATGTATAATAAAAAATGAATTTTGTTCTCAGGCATCAGTCACTTTTTTTGCTAATATCAAAACTATTCTTCAGATTTCCACATAAATATAGCAGACTCTGTTATCCATGCTTGACAACTGACATTGTATTAAAGAGCTGAGTTCACTGTGTGCTCAATTGTGTTGTTGATATCCTTCTTTCCTTATCACTTTTTTTCAATATAATAATAATTTAAAGAATGTCCAGCCTCCCTCCTCACTGTTAAGCTAAATGTGCCCGAGAAACTTTTAATGTCTTTTATGCAGCCTTACATATGTTTAATCACTTGCAGGTACACGATGTTCAACAGACTTTGCTGAGGTGCCGTCAGTATTGATGGAGTTCTTTGCAGCTGATCCAAGGGTAATTACATTAAGTAATACGTTACCACTGTTATACCGAGGCTGTTGTCTCCCACAACTGCTGCTATAGCGAAATCTACCACAGAGATCTCAATTACCTCATGCAGCACGTGCGTAGCCACCTAGCTGCCATGTGACACCCTTCACTCTTGTCTCCTTCGTCTGCTTAGCAAGACGTGTTTTCTCCTGCTGAAGCGTTCCTTGAAGATTTGGTGATATTTATTATCGTTTATTCTCTAATAAACTGTGCTTTTATGGGGCGTTGCGGTAGCTACGCTTGGTTATAATTTTCCCGCCAAACGGAAAATTTTTCCCGCCCTTTTTTCTATATACTTGCGGGGTTCGCGTATGCACGTTGTGTTTTACATTTCCCCTGTTCTTGTATGTTTTGGGGGTTAACATAACTTATTTCTTTAGTAAAAGTTATATGTGTATGTTATATGTTCACATTGCTCGTTTATTTTCTTGTGAAAATGTTCGTTTGTGAATCATTGTGGTGCGTGCGTTGTAACCATGTTTTGTTCTTTGTTTCTAGAAAACAATCAATGTCTGACATGGATATGTCCCCTGTATCCACCCCCTCTACCCCTGCTCCTCGGAGTTGTGGGGTGTGCAGAAAGTTTTTGTCGTCCCGGGATCCCCACGATCGTTGCCCGCGGTGCAGGGTTCCTTGCGAGGAAACCCGGTGCACCCTGTGCGAAGGTCTGGGACCTGCGGAGTTTGAGCGGTACAGGCTGTGCGCGCAGTCCGTTTCCACCCCTGTGGTGGCCGGTTCGTCCGGTCGGGGCCCCCGTGCGGGCACCTCCTTGTCGGCTGCGGCGGATCCCCTTGCGGCCCTCGGGCTGTCTGGGGCTTCCGTCGCCGCATTGTTGTCGCAAATTGTGGACTCCAAGCTGGCGGCCTTATCGCAAGATAGGCCGCTGGCTGTTCCGTCCCCGGCCTCTTCGGTGGCCGCGGGTTCGGACGCGGGGTCCACCGGTACGGCGCCGGCTGCCGTGGTTACCGGTCCTTCCCCCGAACCGTTGCTTCCGCTATCGGTTAAGGACCGCGTGGCCATGGTGTATGACCTCTTCGAGGACATGCCAAAGCCCCTGCCGATACCGCGGGGTATCCACGGTTCCGTGGGTTCCTCCGAGGTATACGACGAGTCGTCCGACAAGGCTTTCCCGGCATCAACCTTGCTGCGCGGGATTAAGCCGTCTTTGGAGAAAGCCTTCACGGCTGCCTCCGGTCGGGGTCTCCCGTTACCTCCCCCGTCGTGGAGAAAAGGGTCTTTCCCAGTTCATGACCTTGCCTTTCCCGAGGCTGGTCCTTCTGCGGAAGCCCATGTGGAGCGTTTGGGGGTCCGTGCCCCACCGGTTGCCACGGTACCGCAAGGTACCCTGCAACAGCTGGACACCCTCGCTCGACACTCCATGCTGGCTATGTCTCACGGAGACACATACCTGGCTGCGGCGGCCAGTCTGGTCGAAGGTTCTCCCACGGACCGTGACCAGCGCATTTACAACTGCTTGCTCGGTTTGAATGCTTCCCTGGAGTACGTTGCCGGGGCTTCGGCCTTTGTTTCCGGCACGTGCCATTTTCTTCGGCGCCAGTCGTATCTGGTTGCTTCAGGGTTGGACGCTGCCAATCAGGAGGTGCTCCTTTCGCAGCCTTGGTCTGCTCGGACCCTGTTTAATAACAAGATCCCTGGGGTTCTGAAGGAACAACAGGCCGCTGTGTCTGCCGAGGCCTCTCGGCACACACTGGATCTTGTGGGGTCCTTGCATAGGCGCCTGGGTGCCGCTCCGAAGCGGAGCGCGCCCCAGGTTGCTGCGTCCGGCAGGCCTAAGGGGTCGGGTCCTTCTTCCTCCGGGAAGAAGCCCCGCTCTGAGGGCTCCGGTAAGGGTTCTCAGCAGCCCTTTCGCGGGAAGAAGGGGAACTGGGGGAAGCCCAAGTCGTCTAAGGACGGCAAGGGCCCCTCCAGGTGACTCTCATTGGAGGGGTTCGTATGCCGACAGCGCCAACTTCGGTTGGCCCGTAGGCGAACCCGAGTCACACGGCCCTGGACAGTTGCGCCTGCCGCAGCCCGTCCGGCCCCCCTCTCTTTCCCCAGTGGGAGCCAGACTCCAGACTTACTGGGAGAATTGGGAACAAGTGTTCGACGACCCGTGGGTGGTCAACACGATTCGGTACGGCTATCGGCTCGATCTCAAAGCGAATCCGCCGCTCACCGTTGCCCCGTCGGCAGGTTTCTATTCGGAAACCGATCTTCCCTTCCTCGCCGATGCCATCGGCAGGTTGGTGGAGAAGAGGGCAGTTCGGGAGTTAGCTCTACCAGAAATAACACCGGGGTTTTACTCCAGGATATTTCTCGTTCCCAAGAAGGACAGTGCCGAACTCAGAATGATTCACAACTTGAAATCGTTAAACGAGTTCTACCTGTGCAAGCCGCCCAAGTTCAGAATGTTGAGCTTGACGGACCTGAAAGCACTGATCATGCCGGCCGACTGGCTAGCTTCGATCGACCTGAAGGATGCTTATCTGCATGTTCCGATTCACTCGGATCATCACAGGTATCTCAGGTTTGTCTTTCAAGGCAGGCACTACGAGTGGGTTGTACTCCCATTCGGTCTTTCGTCCGCTCCCTGGCTGTTCACCCGGTTAACCACCCCCATAGTGGGGTTCCTCCACCGGAGGGGTGTCCGGTACTTCGCGTACCTGGACGACTCGCTAGTAGCAAATCGAATGTCGGACACCCTGTCACGCCATCTCGTTTTCGCACGTCGGCTCTTGGAGCAATTGGGGTGGATTGTCAATCTCCCCAAGAGCGAGTTAACCCCTTCTCAGAACTTGCAGTTCATCGGAGGTCGGTTCAACACGGTGTCCCATCGCCTATTTGTCCCCCCAGACCGGTGGCACAAAATTCAGGCGATGATTGCCAAAGTCTTAGCGGTGCAACAGACTGTTCACTTTTGGGAACAGCTGTTAGGGCTACTTGTGTCAGCCCAGGACTGCACCGTACGGGGTCGTCTCCAACTCCGCCCGCTGCAACGGTTTTTAATCCAGTTGTTAGCAACGGAGGTGAACAGTGCGACCGTCGCCCTCCCGGATCGGCTCCGACCGCATCTGGAGTGGTGGACGGTCCCTTACAATGTCTTATCAGGAGTCTCTATGCGGCCCTACCGGGCCACGTTGAACCTGTATACAGACGCCTCTCTAGTGGGCTGGGGCGCCCATCTAGAGGGGGAGGTGAGCTCGGGGCTGTGGTGCGTAGACGAACTAGGTCTTCACATCAATTGTCTCGAGTTCAAGGCAGTGATCAACGCAGTCAATCACTGGAAGCATCGTCTCGTCGACGCCCGGCTCATGCTGGCGACCGACAACACGACGGTAGTGTCCTATGTGAACAAACTGGGGGGAACCCACAGTCACTCGCTGCTCGATCTCACGTTCGAGTTTTACGCTCTGGTGGACAGTGTCCCGTGCCAGATACGCGCCCGTCACATCCCAGGTGTGCGGAACGTACTGGCCGATGCTCTATCGAGGCCTCGGGATCCGAGCCCCACAGAGTGGATGCTGAACCCAGTAGTGTTTCAGTGGCTGTGCGAACGTTTGGGTCGTCCGATGGTCGACCTGTTCGCAACGCGGTTCAACAATCAACTCCCGTTGTTTGTATCACCAGTCCCGGACCCGAGGGCCATCGATCACGATGCTCTCGCGTTAGACTGGACGGGCTTGGACGCTTATGCTTACCCGCCGACAGCGTTGATACCACACATTCTAAGCCGGCTTCGAGGAGTTCGCTGTCGAATGTTACTGATCGCGCCCATGTGGCCGAACAGATCGTGGTACCCCGACTTGCTGACCCAGGTCACGCAGTCGCCACTCCCACTGCCTGTGAGACCGGATCTCTTGATCCACCCTCACACCCGTCAGCTTCATCCAAACGCAGGGCAGTTCAATCTGCACGCGTGGATGTTGTCACCGAGCGTCTGAGGAGTAAAGGTTTTTCTCGCCGGGCGTCTCGGGCATACGTTAGTATGCATCGTGATTCTACCCAGAAGGTGTATAATGCACGTTGGGTTATTTTCACGAAGTGGTGTTGTAAACATCACATTCATTCGCCAGATAAGGTATCTGTGCAGGATATTGCTCGTTTCATGTCTCACTTGCGAGAGACCCGGAAACTCTCCGGGGGTTCCATTGCCAACTATGTCTCGTCCGTTGCTACGGTACGGGACGTTGCTATGGGTACCAGTCTCTCCAAAGAGCCGGTGATACGGGGTATTATCAAGGGTTTCAAACAGCACGATCTTAAGAAGGGCCGCCTTCGGGCACCGGCCTGGGATCCCCCCTAGTGTTGCAATCACTTACGGAAGCTCCGTATGAACCCTTGCATAGTGCTTCGTTCCGGCATGTGACTTGGAAAACAGCATTTCTCCTCTCCTTTGCCACGGCGGCACGTGTATCCGAAATTCATGCACTCGATGTCGCCAAGGTACGATTCGATAGGGGTGACGAAGGAGCGGTCCGCCTGGGCCTGCTCATGGGCTTCGTCGCCAAGAATCAGAGAGTCGGGCAAGCGGAGAGAGAATTCACTGTAAGATCACTCAAAGAAATCTTACATCCTGCTGATACTGAGGACAGAGCGCTGTGTCCGGTTAGGGCCCTTAAGTATTATCTTAAGGCTTCGAATGAACGTAGACAAGGACGTGACCGTCTGTTCATATCGTGTAACCCTAATCGCACGGTTGACATAACTCGCAACTCGATTGCGTTGTGGCTTCGTTCTGTCATCAATCTGGCGTACCGGTCTCGGGGGTTACCGGTAGCGGGGTCAAACCCGCACGAGATCAGGGCGCTAGCGGCAACATTTGCCCTACACTCGAATATCTCTGTTCACAGAATATTACGAGGTTGTTACTGGCGTTCTGACTCGGTTTTTGCCAATCATTACCTCAGAAAGGTTTCTGATGAAGACGTGGAGGGGGTGCACCGTCTTGGGCCGCTGATCGCGGCACAAGCGGTCATCTAGGGGGTGTGTCCAGCGCAATTTCAAACTCCGCAGTCGTCAGTCCTTGCACGGTGGTCAATCTGGGTCGTCTCCAATGTTCCCACGCCGTGGGTACAGGAGTGGGGGTCCTGCAAACCAGCGCACTCACACCACAGGTGAGGCGGCTTTATGTGTGTTTTGTCCTTATTTGTATTTTGACAATTATGCATTTAATTGTCTGTCGTGTATTCCAACCTTGCGATACATGCTTACGAATACTGGAATTAGGTCACGCGCCTAATGCATACTTTCAGTAGGCTTGCTCTGGGATATACGGTCTGAAGGAAATTAATTTCCCTCTTTTCGACTGTTTAACCTGATCTAAGATTTAGCTCACGCGGATACAGTGTTCTCATCCGCTGCGGCGATGAAATACCTATCCAGTGGGGCCGTTTGGAGTCACCAATCGTTTTGGCAATGACGATTGAGCCTTACGGTATGCGCATGACAGTGCTTTGGTATTCCTATAGGGTAACGCCTAGCTAGGTGCATGCGCATCGAGTGCTTCCGCCTTGGTGTTTACTTCCGCTGGTCGGAAGGAACGCTAGCAGTCAGGATTCGGGTTGTAGGTGCTCCCCACCGCCTACTGTGGTAGTCAGCCTCGGTATAACAGTGGTAACGTATTACTTAATGTAATTTGTAGAATTTTCCTATTCGGAATATTCTATAAGTAATACGTTACCACTGGGCTGCTGCCCGCCCGTCCGTCCCCCGAGCACTTGCTCTCGCAGGAGACAAGAGTGAAGGGTGTCACATGGCAGCTAGGTGGCTACGCACGTGCTGCATGAGGTAATTGAGATCTCTGTGGTAGATTTCGCTATAGCAGCAGTTGTGGGAGACAACAGCCTCGGTATAACAGTGGTAACGTATTACTTATAGAATATTCCGAATAGGAAAATTCTACAAATATGTTTATAGCGCTTGTTTGTTTGTTTGTTTGTTTAACGCCATACTCAGCAATATTCCAGCTATATGACAGCGGTTTGTAAATAATCGAGTCTAGACCTGACAATCCTGTGATTGACATCATGAGCATCTGGGATTTGGGATACGATGACATGCATCAACCTAGTCTGACCCATTAGTCGCCTCTTACGACAAGCATAGCCGCCTTTTACAACAAGCTGTCTAAAACAGGACTTTCTTTTGCATGGGATATCCAGTGGATAGAATGTCTGGCCAGACCGTTAGGTTGATGGTTTGATTCCCTGGGCATGTCATACCAAAAGATAATGAAATATGGTACTTTTTGTTACCCTGCCAGATGCTCGGCATTAAGGGGAAAAAACAAGCACTGGTCGTCTTGGAGTCAGAATACTGTATGTGAGTGGAATATCCATGTTAAACTGCAGCATGGCATCTCAGTGGGTGAGCACTATAAAATCGGCACTAGTACGAGCAGCCACACATACAGACATGCACGCACATCGTTGTATAAGTGCAATAATCTTGAATGTGACATTAAACCCTCACCTCTTTGCATGAAGGATGTAATATCAATCATGCTATTGATCATAATATATGGATGGGGTTGTCAGGCTCAGTGACTTGGTTTATCGCATGTCATCATACGCCAAGTATATCAATAACTGGTTTGGCAGGTCCAGACTCTATTGTTTACATGTGGCCATCCTGCAGCTGGAGCCTTGCTGAGTGCGACATTAAACATCAAACAAACAATGTAAACTCAGTATTAAGCACAGATTCAATTCTTTTACAGATATGCTATATTTTATTTTAAGGATTCCTCATACAAATTCTGGGGTAGAGCATGTCTCCAATGTCATCGTATCCCAATTGCGTGGGACCCGTGAAGATTTCGGGGTAGAATAGGTCTTCAGCAACCCATGCTTGCCGTAAAAGGCGACTATGCTTGTCGTAAAAGACGACTAACGGGATCGGGTGGTCAGGCTCGCTGACTTGGTTGATGCATGTCATCGATCCCAAATGCATGGATCAATGCTCATGATATTAATCACTGGATTGTCTGGTCCAGACTCGATTATTTGCAGACCGCCGTCATATAGCTGGAATATTGCTGAGTGCGGCGTTAAACAACAAACCAACCAACCAACCCAATTGCGTGGATCGATGCTCATGATGTCAATCACTGGATTGTCTGGTCTGAGTGCGACGTTAAAAAACAAACAAACAAACAAACAAACAAAGCTAAGGTCACCAGCAACCATTGCTGTCATACGCGGCATCTAAATAGATTGTTTGGGACTTAGGGACTTGTTTGATGGATGTAGTACCCTGACAGTATGTGCCGTTTTGTAGAGTTAAATAACATACTACCAACATGCTGTCTACATACAACACAGTGTGTTACTGGATAGCTGAGTGGTGTCCTGCGTCAACAGCATCTGGTTGTAGCCTTCATGTCATCGGATGATCTTCTTTGTAGGTGCTGTCGACATTTGCCCGACACTACAAGACTGGTGAAGCCCTGTCACCCTCTACCATCCAAGATCTGTGTCAGTCCAAGAGAATGTTTGCTGCTTCGGTAGGAATTATTAACACAGTTATGCAATGCCCATGAACCATTAGGTTGAAAATAATTGCAAATATGTAGTCCTGACATGACCATTGTAACAGGACTGTTTGCACACAGGGAATGTAACAGGTTATTGACGTTCTTTTTTTCTTCTTTGTTTTGTTTTGTTTTGTTTTTTTTCTTTTCTCTTTTTTATCACAACCGTACAGTTTAATAGAAAAAGAAGTTATTGACTTTCTTAGTACTGTAGAAGGTGACTTGTGGAATCATCACAGGATGTGCAAATGATTATCAATCATTAAAGGTCCACCACCTCCATGGTGTAGTGGATGGAGCGTCTGACTGGAGAGTGGAAGGTCGGTGGTACAATCTGGCCCCAAAGACGTAAAAAGATGGTACTTGTTGCTACCCTGCCTCAGACAGGCCTTCCATAATTGGTACCGCCAGATTGTCCAGCTGAAGAATCATGTTTGACTTTATTCAAGAGATGCAGTTGTAGGCGTTTTTCTTCTGAAGGCGATTCAGACTGCCCAGTTGAAGAATGTTGTTTGACTTCCTTCAAGTGTTGTCTGCTGAAGGATGGTCTGACTGTTCAGTTTAAGAACCTTGTTTGACTTTCTTCAGGAGATGCAGCTGCAGGTGTTCTACTCTGTCCTGGACCAAGTGTACCATGGGCCCCACCCTCTAGGAAGGTCCACAACACAGGTCCTGGCAGATCTGCAGGTCGAGTACCATGGCACGCCCTACATTGACAACACGGTAAGAGACTCACCATTTCATGTTCTTGGGTTGGGAGGGCAGAGATAATTTAAAAAAATATTTTGTTCTAGAAATTACTGGATAAACTGATTGTATCTCGAGTTTTGCAAACAAATACAATTGCTGAATGTCATGAAAAAAAATATGTTGTGAAAAAAAACCCAAATTGTATGACACCTCTTTTAAAAAACCCATTCCAATTGCAATCTCTACTCACAGGGAAAGGTTTGCCTTTACTTTATCATATAAACCTACCGGGTACCCATTCGCTGCTAAATGAACAGAGAATATATTTTAGTTTGTTTGTTGTTTAACGCCGCACTCAGCAATATTCCAGCTATATGACGGCAGTCTGTAAATAATCGAGTTGGGACCAGACAATCCAGTGATTGACATCATGAACATCGATCTACGCAATTGGGATACGATGACATGCATCAATCAAGTCAGCGAGTCTGACCACCCGATCTCGTTAGTTGCCTCTTACGATAAGCATAGTCGCGTTTCACAGCAAGCATGGTTTGCTGAAGACCTATTCTAACTCCGATCTCTATGCTGTAGATACTCACACAGCATCCATATTGAGCCACATATTTATGGCCATTAGTGAGACATTATATCTAAAAATGCAGTGAAGTTTCGTGTACGTTTACTTAGTAGGTGGATGTAGTTGTTTTCAGCAGTATTTACATTTTGATCTTTGTGATTGGTCAATGGTCTAAAATTCTTGCAAAATACATAGTTGCCCCCCCTCCCTCAGAAAGTGTCCAAACTGAGGAAGCTGAACATTTATGACGTCATGTTTTGTTGAAATAAGGATTTAAATGCTAAATGTTAGTCCTTAGTAGTAGTCCTTGTTAGTCCTTAGATTTTTCATGCAAACTGTTCAAATCAGTGTCAAACCCCCCTACTGTTCCAGGCATGGCAGTTACGTTTTGGTCATCTGGTTGGCTACGGGGCCAAGTATTACTCATATCTACTCTCACGAGCAGTGGCATCCAAGATCTGGTACCAGAGTTTTAACCAGAACCCGTTCAGCAGGTGAGTTCCACGCCATCAAAATTACTGGGAACCTTTAAATATCCTGAATATGAACAAGGTTTATGCAGGGATTGAAATAACCTTCAACTCAACAATTGTCTTGGGAAAAACCTTTGAAGTCAACAGATTTCTTTGAAAAACACCTCAATGTCAACAATTGTCTTGGAAAAAACCCTTGAAGACAACAGATTTCTTTGAAAAACACCTTGATGTCAACAGTTGTCTTGGAAAAAACCCTTGAAGTCAACAGATGTCTTGGAAAAAAACCTTGATGTCAACAAAATGCTCAAATGACAGACAAGCTATCAAGTTGAATCTTAAATGTGAAAAAATCTCTTTGCAAATGCAGATTGTCAGGGAAACGTATGACCAGCTGGTTTTGTTTGTTTTATTACTGTAGTATACACTGACTGGTTTTGTTGTGTTGCGAGATCTAGTTATATGTCTTTCACAAGATTTAGCATTGTTAAACATTAAAGTTTTAATTTACCCCCAGCTTTTTTTAAGGACATTACAGGTTAATTATTCATGATAAAATTTGATTCATCTTACGTTTAGGATCCTTTTTTACACTTAACAGTACACCCAATTTTGGTGTCATGTATTTGCTTCTGTGAAGACCTACCAGTTCTCTAGTTTTCGGAGAGATTTCTTTGTGTGAAGACTACAAACACTTGATCAAGTATTATTTAAAAAGTGTAGCTGTATGTTTTTCTTTTTCTAACTGTTATTATGGTTTTATTATCTGATAGTGGTTTGCATGTTTTTGGCTTTGGGCGGTCAAACTCTATAAACCAAAAGGAAAGGAGTTGTTAAAATGTGCCAAAGTATGTGACTCAAAAGAAGTTTAAGAACACATGATCTATTACTGTTAGTTAATATAAAAATGGTGTTCTTCAAATTCTTTTTAGTCGTATATATGATGGTTATGTTTCTTTATTTGTTCCAGGGAGTCGGGGGAGCTGTACAGGCGGGAGGTCCTGGCCCATGGAGGGGAGAAACCCCCAACAGAGCTTGTACAGGGTAGGTAGACAGGGTGTTCGAGGGTGTCGGGGGAGCTGTACAGGCAGGAGGTCCTGGCCCATGGAGGGGAGAAACCCCCAACAGAGCTTGTACAGGGTAGGTAGACAGGGTGTTCCAGGGTGTCAGGGGAGCTGTACAGGGTAGGTAGACAGGGTGTTCCAGGGTGTCAGGGGAGCTGTACAGGGTAGGTAGACAGGGTGTTCCAGGGTGTCAGGGGAGCTGTACAGGCAGGAGGTCCTGGCCCATGGAGGGAAGACACCCCCAACAGAGCTTGTACAGGGTAGGTAGACAGGGTGTTCCAGGGTGTCGGGGGGAGCTGTACAGGGTAGGTAGACAGGGTGTTCCAGGGTGTCGGGGGAACTGTACAGGGTAGGTAGACAGGGTGTTCCAGGGTGTCAGGGGGAGCTGTACAGGGTAGGTAGACAGGGTGTTCCAGGGTGTCGGGGGAGCTGTACAGGGTAGGTAGACAGGGTGTTCCAGGGTGTCGGGGGAGCTGTACAGGGTAGGTAGACAGGGTGTTCCAGGGTGTCAGGGGGAGCTGTACAGGGTAGGTAGACAGGGTGTTCCAGGGTGTCAGGGGGAGCTGTACAGGGTAGGTAGACAGGGTGTTCCAGGGTGTCGGGGGAGCTGTACAGGGTAGGTAGACAGGGTGTTCCAGGGTGTCGGGGGAGCTGTACAGGGTAGGTAGACAGGGTGTTCCAGGGTGTCGGGGGGGAACTGTACAGGGTAGGTAGACAGGGTGTTCCAGGGTGTCGGGGGAGCTGTACAGGGTAGGTAGACAGGGTGTTCAAAGCGGCACAGGAAAGAGGCTCAGATTCAGGGAAACAGGGAAAGTATATGAATCAGATGAGCTATCTTATAGTTTATCTGGGTTTTATGTTGAAGCATGTGTTTCCCAAATGGAATCAGATGTTCTGTTATTGGGGAGTTGACAGGTTGTCCGGGGAATTATACAGGTTAGGCACATGGGGAATCAGATGTGCTGTAATTGGTGAATTGACAGGTTGTCCGGGAAATTAAACAGGTTAGGCACATGGGGAATCAGATATGCTGTAATTGGTGAATTGACAGGGTGTCCGGGGAATTATACAGGTTAGGCACATGGGGAATCAGATGTGCTGTAATTGGGGCGTTGACAGGGTGTCCGGGGAATTATACAGGTTAGGCACGTGGGGAATCAATAGGCTGTATTGGGTATGTTTACTGTTTAAGCAAAAGTAATCATTCCAGATAGGAAGGGCAAGGAGACATGATCTGATTTTTGGGGGCATTCTGGAAGGGTCAGTGAAGGGGCTCTTTGTATTTCCTAGTTCAGAAGGAGGATGTTGGTCCAACTGTCAGGAAAATCAATAAGTGCTCACAAGGGTAGAAGAGCATCTTCCCGAGGCAAGGGAGTTAACTAACTATAATAGTCCAGTTTCCACCCTTGCCGAACCAGTCTGGAATTCCGGAGCTTCAATTTGGCTGGAATAACGAGTCTATGCGTAGTCATCCAGTTTGTAAACAACATAGATTTCAATGTGTACATTACAGTCGACTGCAGGATTTGCAAAGCATGTGTACAATGTACTGGGTGCAACAGAAATTTTGCAAATCTTTTCATGTTTTTAATCAAGGTGCTCAAGTGATTTGATGCACTGTGAAGGGTAAGACCCGTTTTATTACAATGCAGATCTTGGTTATTGATCAGATCGTCTTGACTGGGCACCGCCATTTTGTTTGAAGCAAATGCAAGTGATATGAGAGGTGGAATATAGGAGGGACATAGAAGGGATGTAACTCATAATAGGCACTAGTGGCAATACGATCGAACCTGCAAATTCCAGCCTAATTCAGCAAGGGTGGAAACTGGACTTTTATAGTCTGTTAACACCCTTACCTCAGGAAGATGGTAGAAGAATAACCAGAGGCTTGCGTGGAGTTGGGGAGAGGGAGTTGATAGCTATCTTGGTGTGTGAAGGAATCAGGGGAATGCCGTCCCTGGTATGCATAATTATGCTAGCTTAAAAAGCTAACTTGTTGCCATTGATACAAGGTTCATGCAGGCTTGAAAAGGCCTTGAATTGTATGGTCCTTCTTGATAATCCTTGACTTTAAGTGTTAATATCCAAGAGCTTTGAAAATCGACAATTTGTACAAAATGATGTATGCTTGTTAATAGAAGTCTTAAACTTCATGATAGACTTAATTTATTTGTTGGTTGTGAAAATGGATCTTGTTGAAACATTTGTGATGTTCACACTGCTTGTTAAGTCTTCTGTCTAAAATATAGGATGCTGGTTTTAAAAAGATATTTACAGACTACGGCTTAATAACCCAACTACAAAAGCCAATAAAAATCCTTTTAGTGTTCCATGTCTGTATGAAACTTGTTATGATTAGAAGCTTGCTTGTTTATTTTAGGTTCAATTATTTGCTTGTTCCAGGCATGCTTGGAGAGACGCCGACAGCAGAGACACTGGTGATGTCACTTGTACAGGATCTGGATGAAGGAGCAAGGCTGCTTGGTACATAGCAGAGTTACGCAGACAATTGTAAAACTCTAAAACAACTGTATATCATGAAGCAGCCAACAGATCACGTAGCAGAAATGTGTGATGTGAGAGCCAGGAAATGTGGACTTCATGGATGGCCATGTATGAGTGAGTGAGGGAGTGAGGTTTAAGGCTGTTTTTAGCAGTGAGCCAGCGTTACCATGACACCAGAGGTGTTCTGCACGAAATATACCCTTGTAGGGAATTGAACCCAGGCTTCCTGTGTGTGGAAAGCTACTAGATTGCAGTGAGAACTGCCATTGGCAGATCAGGGATCAGGGCTTCAAAGCAACAGTAGTGTTACGACGACGTAACTCGCATACTTAACATAGACTTACGATAATCATAGCGCTAAGAGCGCTTTGTGCAAGTGGACTCTAGGCCTCTTTCCACAAAGCGATCTCAGCACTATGACCGCTGTAAGCCTACGTTAACATATGGAAGTTATGGTCGCTTTGTGGAACTGAATCCCCGGTGGACCCTCATCACTGGTTGACAACTAAGATGCACTCCTTGTGATTGTTTCTGAGTTTGTCAGTACCATGCCCTTGGGTTTCACCAAGTGGTCAATATCTCAGACCTACCGTACTTCACTTTCCTTCCACATTAAGCTGACACGTCCTGAGATACCTGTAACTCGAATATTGTCAAAAGGGGCTTAAACCCAACTATCTGACTCACTCATTCACTCTTTACTGACAATGGATTTGGCGTATACACCTCCACTCAACACCTGTGAAGATCAAGTTAAGAATTTGTCTTCGGGATCCCATACTTGTCAAATGAGGGACCAACAGTATCGGGTAGACAGGCTCGCTGATTGTTGATGCATGTCATCGTCTCCCAATTGAATCTATTGATTCTCACGATGTCAGTCAGTGGATTGTACGGTCCAGACAGCGGTCATAGAGCTAGAATATTGTTGAGTGTGGTGTGAAACAACAATCATTGCTGGGCATATTCACGAAGCATATTTAGTGTCAATAATGAGATTGTCTGGTCCCGATTCAATTATTTTCAGACTGCTATCTTAAAACCGGAATGTTGCTGAATGTGGTATTAAACAACAGACAGTTGACATAAACATTACTGACACAAGCATCCAAAATAAAAAATTAAAAAATGATTGCTGTTCAAATGTATGAATGATGTCAAATATCTTCTGGCTTAAGATTTAATCAAACCTTTCTTATGTTTTTATTACATCTTAAACCACTTGTATCTTTTTTAAATAGTAAATATTTCCTGTATATACCTGGATAGCAGGTAAGCATCATTTCTTTATTTTAGGATATTGCTTCCTATATAGCATTTACTCCATGCTCCGTCATGCTCAAAGTTCCAAACCAGCATTACCCAGTCAGTGGAACAGTGTGCACTTTCATTCTCTGCTCTCTGCAGAGTATTCAACCCAAGCTGCCTATGAAGCACTAGGTTAACAGTCACATTACCATCTCATCCTACCGGGTACCCATTTTACTGCTGGTTGAATAAACATAGCTTCATTTATCCTGAACTTTAATGTTACTTTTGGACACATTTACATATGTTGTCCCAATTGCGTGGATCGATGCTCATGTTGTCAATCACTGGATTGTCTGGTCCAGACTCGATAACTTACAGACCACCGTCATATAGCTGGAATATTGCTGAGTGTGGCGTTAAAAAATTAACAAAAAAACAAACATATGACATTGTTTTCATTTAAAAAAAACAAAAACAAGATACATGATGACAAAAAAATGGAACTGTTATGTTAGACTGACAAGTACTGGTTTTTCATCATCACATGAAGTTGTTGACAGGGAATACCAAAAAACTATTTGCCCTTAAACAGTAACTGAAAACAAAACTGATTATCTAATAACAATGAACAAGAGTTTGCTGGCAAACCAAAAAACAATTGGGGTGAACCGGGATTCGAACCCACAATGACAGGGTTGTGGTGTGCTCAAGGCAATCAACTATGCACAGCCTTAGAAGACTTGGCCACATATACTCCCCTATTATTATGAATGTTTTGGTTTTTTTAGGGAAATACGTACTAAGTGGTGCTTTGCCATTTTCCAGGTGTGTATTTAATGTGTGTGCATGTGTGTACACATGTACCTATTTTATCACAAATATGATGTAGTGAGCTTTGTGAACTATTCTGATTGTTTTGTTTGAGATGGAAATGTGAAAATAGTGAGGAAATGATATGGTTGTTGTGTGTTTTGTTTAAGACAATCATGTGTGATACTGCCCTTGTCATGTTATGGAATAAAAGTAATGACATTGAAATTTTCCGTGTGCTTTTTTGCTTTCGCTCATGTTGAGAATGAGCAGGGTTTTGTGCTTTTGAGCATAATTCCAGCTGTAGAACTTCGCTTGTAAACCAGAAATAGATATATCTATGTGGCAATGGAACCCAGGTGTGAGGTGAGGTGAAATGGGGTTTACCGTCCCATCCAAGATTGTTGCACTTATATAGTGACGTGTGCATGTGGCTGCTTGTACCAGTCCGGACTAATGCCGATTTTATGTTGCTAGCCTACCGAGATACTAGACCCGTGAAGACCCGGGAGAGAATTGGTCTTCAGCAACCCATGCTTGCTGTGCATGTCATGAAAGGCGACTAATGGTATCGGGTGGTCAGGCTCACTGACTTGGTTGATGCATGTCCTCGTATTCCAATTGTGTGGATCAATGCTCATGATATCAATCACAGGATTGTCTGGTCCAGACTCAGTTATTTACAGACCGCCGCCATATAGCTGGAATATTGCTGAGTGCGGTGTTAAACAACAAACAAACAAACAACTGAGATACTATGCTGCAGTTGAACATGAATACCCCACTCTGACAGAGTTTATTGACTCCAAGCTGACCAGTCCTTGTTTTTGCCCCTTCATGCCAAGGGCCAGGTATGGTAACAAGTACCATCTTTTAATTCCAGCAACATCACGGTGGGGGACACCAGAAATGAGCTTCACACGTTGTACCCATGTCGGAAATCAAAAACCGGATCTTCAGCGTGATGAGCCAACGCTTTAACCACAGGCTACCCGACCGCCCCTATTAAAGTCAGAAGGAATAGGTGCATTGTCAGAAAGAAATGGCAACATTAGTGACTTATAGTGTAACCTATGAGTTTTAGATAATTTTTGTCATAAAACAATATATCACGTGTCTAGCCATGGTCAGGGTAGTCCTGTGGGTACCGGGGTCCTACTCAGGACCCACCCGACCCGAGTACCCGAGTTACCCGTCCCAGCCTTAGTCTTTGGGTATGATGGGGCCTGGGATGAGACCCCCACCCTTCCGCTTTTCAGGCAGACTCGACCACTCTACCACGGAGGTGTCGTGTTTTGTGTGATGAGCCAACACTCTAACCACTGGGCTATCCGAGTGGAAATATACTGGCCTGTAAGCATATACTACTCATGTGCATCACTGACTCTCATGGGATATCATATGGAGCAAACAAAGAATTTGATATATTGATGTCCATGAAACATGAATTCATCATGACAGTGTGAACACATGTCCTCTGTTCAAGTCGTCTTAGACTTAAAGTGGCGCAGGTTCAATTGTCAGTTCTCAAATCAGTATCCGCTATGACCATCATTGACAGTGACACAAACCTGACGATGTCGTTCAGCGCTTCATTGACTACAGATGATTGTTGAAGAAGGCTTGTGGCGTGTCATTCCAGATATGGACCAAGGCTTGTTGCGGCTGGTCCATCCTCATCAGCTGGTTTGGAAGTCGGCATAAACGACATTTAATTTCATCCCACACATGTTCGATGGGCGACAGATCTGATGAAACCGCAGGCCAAGGGAGTGTGGGCATTCGTGACCAACTCCTGTTATTCCGGGACAAGCCGAATAGCGACGCACCTCTCATGGACATTTTTGCAAACGGGTTCCGTCTTAGCGCAAACGGGCATACCTAAAACAATTGTCAACTCGTGTAATGTTTTACATATATTTCCCCATATATATTATACATATTTCAGATGCAATTTAAAGCACATCGGGGCGTGCGGAATTTTACAGTGTGACACATTTAACTGTGTCTTGGGTATACTTTTAGATGCACGACATATGTAAAAAATATTTCTCAGGGATTCTGTGACGAAGAACTTGAAATAATACGCACATTCTTATTGGTTTGTCGTAATTCCGTACATAACATTCATCGATAGGGGGACGAGTCTTCTTGCAGGTTACGGAAAGGGGCGAGTGGTGACGAATGGAGTGTGGGGATGCTCCTTTGTGCAATGGCATCTGTGACCACATCTGAAATTTGAGGGCTTGCAGTGTCCTACTGTAAAGTGATGTGATGTCCATGGGTCTGAAGTGACGCGAGGACGGGTAACTTCGTCACACCGTCCCGCACACCTGTCAAATTGCCATCGATGACCACTAGGGGGTCCTGTGATGTGTTCCCCACACCATTACGCTCCGACCGTCGAATGCAGAAATTTGAACAAAATTAGCATAACGTTCCATCCGACGTCAATAAACACGCAGACCATCAGTGCTGTCAGAACTCATCTAGGAAGACAGCTAGTTCTGTAACCTGAACCTCAGATGATGTCTGGACCATGCAAGTCTCCACACAAATCATACCCCCACCCCCGAAACACCCCCATCCCTTCACCCCATCTTCACCCAAACCCCTCACCCCACCCCGAATATCAAATGGGTCGGTCCCAACATCTACATCTTGGAAGAGACTTGAGTATATTCATTCAGAATGTATTCATAATTTATATATATACTCCCAAAGACCGTCTTCAACTCTCAAAGACCGTCTTCAACTCTCAAAGACCGTCTTCAACTCTCAAAGACCGCCTTCTACTCTCAAAGACCGCCTTCAACTCCCAAAGACCGCCTTCACCTCTCAAAGACCGTCTTCAACTCTGAAAGACCGCCTTCAACTGTCAAAGACCGCCTTCAACTCTCAAAGACCGTCTTCAACTCCCCAAAACCGCCTTCAACTCTCAAAGACCGTCTTCAACTCCCAAAGATTGTCTTCAACTCTCAAAGACCGCCTTCAACTCTCAAAGACCGTCTTCAACTCTCAAAGACCGCCTTCAACTCTCAAAGACCGCCTTCAACTCCCAAAGACCGCCTTCACCTCTCAAAGACCGTCTTCAACTCTGAAAGACCGCCTTCAACTGTCAAAGACCGCCTTCAACTGTCAAAGACCGCCTTCAACTCCCAAAGACCGCCTTCAACTCTCAAAGACCGTCTTCAACTCCCAAAGATTGTCTTCAACTCTCAAAGACCGCCTTCAACTCTCAAAGACCGCCTTCAACTCTCAAAGACCGCCTTCGTAGTGTCCTGGATGGAGTGTCAGCCGGGAGGAGAGCAGAAGGTCGGTTGTTCAATCCCAGGGCTGCGTCAAACTAAAGACGTTAAAAGATGGTACTTCTTGATACGAGGGGCGTTCAATACGTTTTGCAATTTCAATATAAGACCAAGTCGCAGAATATCTTTTGCACTTTTATTTTTCAATATAATATCCATTCACCTCAATACACTTATTCCATTTGTCCTTCAAGCTTTTAATACCGCTTTTTTTTAAATCCTCAGATTGGTCCTCTAACCAACTTTTATTGTCAGTTAACTCCCTTGCCTCGGGAAGAGGTGAGGTGAGGTGAAATTGGGTTTAACGTCGCGTCCAAGATTATTGCACGTATATAGCGACGTGCATGCACGTGTGTGTGTGTGTGTGTCTGCTTGTACTAGTCTGGACTGATGCCGATTTATAGTGCTAGCCATAGCCGAGATACCATGCCGCAGTTTAACATGAATACCCCACTCAGACACAGTATACTGACTCCGAGCCGACCAGTCCTTGTTTTAGCCCCTTAATGCCGAGCGCCAGACAGGGTAACAACAAGCACCGTCTTTTAACGTCTTTTGGTATGACGCGGCCGGGGATCGAACCCTGGACCTTCCGCTCTCCGGGCGGACGCTCTACCACTAGACCACGGAGGCGGTGCCTCGGGAAGATGTTATGTTACTCGTTAACTGAAACACCCATTACCCGTCCAAATGTAATCTTGTTATTCCCTTATATGACCCAAACAAACAATTATCCGATGTGCGCATGAACATAACTTGTGTACCTGCGAGAAAAGGGTGTTTATGTTACATTTGCATACACTGGCAGGCTTTCTTATGTACAGTCGAACCTCGTTGTGTCGAACGCAGAGACCTTGAAAAATCGAGTTATCCGGGGTTCGAGACATCAGGGAAATTATTTACTTAATTTGGATACGTAGGATCTCAAATAAGTTCGAGACAACCGCGAATTTGACACATCCAAGTTCGACACAACGAGGGTCGACTGTATATTGAATATTCACATGATTTCAATGGTGCATATGAACATGCATACTAAATGTGTTATAACCACTAGTTTCAAAGTGAGGTGAAGTGAAATGGGGTTTAACACCGACTTTAGATTATTGCACTTTGTGCATTCACTTATGTGAGTGTGTGTATGTCTGTGTGTCTGTGTGTCTGTGTGTCTGTATATATATATGAATGTCTGAAGCGCAGGATTTACACTTACTCGCCAATGCCCCAGGCGCGTTATATACTGGGCAAAGGACGCCAGCTATTGGTCCCACATCTCAGATATTGTTTACTTTGAAGAACTTGAGTGAGTGTGAGTGAGTTGGGTTTAACGCCGCTTTTAACAGTATTTCTGTTATATCACGGCGTGTCAGCTTAATGTAGGAGGAAAGCCCGAAGTGATGCAGGTCTCAGACGTTTACTACTTCGGTAAAACCCACGAGCACGGGTATGGTGCTGACAAACCTAGAAACATAATTGGGGCGAACCGGGATTGGACCCCACAATCATAGGTTTCTGGCGTGCCCAATGGACGCAACTCTGCACAGCGAATCGCGGCGCCTTAGACGACTGGGCCACCCGTGCCCCCTTGAAGAACTTGATAATGTGCCAGAAAAAGTATTAGTGGACATACCTCTCGGACATCTTGAAACTGCCGTCGGGGACTGCTTCTGGGAGACTATCCCTTAGGTAGATATCCACCTGGAAATCTTAACAACGAAGATACACAGGCAAAGGATGTGAGTAAATATAATTTAACATATATATTTAGAATGGTAGAACGGGGTATTAAACTGCACATTCCTTCAACCGGGTGCGCTGTAAACCGTGAGCGTTTTCAAACATTTGACGGTTCTGTAGTTTCAATTGAAGCACAGTAATAACAATGCAAACATTTCGAACTTTGTGCAAATACACGTATACACACGCGTCACGCTTGCTCTTTCACGAAGGTGTGTTAACATTGTCCCTTGTAGGTTTATTGACTCGTACCAGACCCCAATTATCTCGACGGTTGTATTTGATGCAATGACAGGACATATCGAATGTCAAAATGAAGAAAGGCCCATCTACTAACTGGGCGTAACCTCTCACAACAATCATACGTTGGATTGGGACTTAAGTGTCTTTTATAGGGAGACCTTTTATAAGAAGAATCAGCTATGAGCTCGAGTTAAACCCTCATGCGACCTGTTTCCATGGTATTAACACGCATGAATTGTATAAAGTAACTGCATTTAGAACCGAATGATATTAATATAGTAGTTGACAGGTGTTCACTTCTTGTAAATACATTCCCTTTGGCACTCCAGAACCCTTTGATTGTGGGTTCGAATCCCGGCTCGCCCCATTATGTTTCTAGGTTTGTCAGCACCATACCCGTGCTCTTCGGTTTCACCGAAGTGGTAAACGTCTGAGACCTGCATCACTTCGGGCTTTCCTCCCACATTAAGCTTACACGCCGTGATATAACTGGAATACTGTTAAAAGCGGCGTAAAACCCGACTCACTCACTCACTACTTATGACGTCACGAGTTGTCGCGGAACGGTTTGGATGCCATCATTGCACAATTAACAGACTTAATCAGAAATTCCAACAGACTGGAACCACAAGAGATCGCCCTTGTCCCGTTGTTACAACGCCACGACAAGATCGCCAATATTGTTCGCAGCCATATTCGAAACACTTCCATGTCGACGAGAAAACAGCTCAGACGCTGTATGTGTTCGACTGCGTGCCCCCGGTTTGAATGTCAGACGACCTTACGTTGGCTCCATCCTGACGCAATGACATCGAAACGATCCCCGGTGCTTGGCTGAGGGACATCGTCACTGGAGATTACAGCGTTGGCATGGCGTCCTGTTCTCGTTTAAACCGAGGAACGCTGATGACCTGCCTTGAACAGACAGACCGCTGTGGTGGTGGAAGCGTGGTGGTGTGGGCTGGTATCAGGTATCAGTGGGAGGACACTGCCCCATATCTGTCGTGGTACGGTCAACGCCGTGTACTACAGGGATCACATTCTAAGATATCACTTCGTCCCACTCTTTCCTCAACATCACGATCTGCCGACGTTCCAGCAGGATAACGCGCGGGCGCACACAGCACTGGTCTCGACGCAATTTCTGGCGCAAAACAACCTTCTAGTTCTTCACTGGACTGCCTTTTCACCAATTAAGAATTTGTGGGATTACCTTGGGCACCGTCTTTCACGTCTCGCACAGATGAATACAGCCAGGGAACTAGAACTGCTCTGCAACGTGAATGGAACAGGATACCACTATACGTTATTCACAGACTTGTTGGGTCTATGAGGAGACACTGTACGGTTGGCGTTGCTTCACAAGGCGGCCACACACGTTATTGACTTTGCGTTTTGACCCCTCGTTTCATTTCGGGACTTTTACCTGAAGGTGGGTCATTGCTTTTGTTTTTTTCGGTTGTGTATGGCCTACATGAATTGATACACTTTTTAAAGTAAGTCACCTCACCGTCACAGCACGTGTGTTCACAGTTTTATATATTTCCTCTGGGGCGTTTGCAATGCGTTTAAGTTCACTGGAACACTCACAGCTTCATCGCCAACGTACCTAGCACTTCCAAACATCTTAAACATGTTCTGATATGCACCAAATGCACATGTTCATAAATAGGCCATTGTTCAGCCTTTAAACAATATATGGCGCTGTTTCTGTACATCCTTATACACCACTCGAACATATGTTACGCCTTGAAACCCCAACTTTGTACTTTTTTAACCAATATATTTACATACAATTATTTTAAAATGCCTAAGACCATTGGTAAATACGATTCTATAATTCCTTAAATAACGGTTCCATGGTCAAGCGGCCTCAGATCAACTGTTTGAATCAGAGAGGGCTAAGACAAAATTGTTAAGGATGAGCAACTTCTTTATTACAATTGGGCGTCGTTTCGGTGTAGATAAATCTACGCCGAAAATAATAACAATAACACCATAACAATTTTGTCTAAGTTAAATCTACACCGAAACGTCGCCCAATTGTAAAAAAGAAGTTGCTCATCCATAACAATTTTGTCTTAGTTACCATTCCAACTTCTAAATGCCACTCAAAGAAGTCAGAGAGGGCTCTTTGTGAGTTGACCCATGGACGGGACTCAACCCCAAAAGTACGAGAATCTGTACTTTACGGAGAAAGTGTCATTCCAAATATAATGTCTGTGACACTTGACTACTTTCTAAATGGCATTGTGTGTTCATATGTGACCGTAGATATGTAGTATGTAAGTTTGGGGCCCTTATCTCATTATGTATATACTGGCCCGTGTAACTAAAATTACACGCATTTCCATGACAGAACTTTAACATAGTAATTGGGTCCCGTGTAACAACGATCATGTTATATCCAAACTTTAAATTCAGCATGCACGTAAAATTCAAATAGTTGTAAATAATAATATATGAATATCAAGAGCGGCTTATGATTTAACAAACCTTTCGCAATTCGCAAAACAGTCTCCACTCAGGTTTTCAATTAAAGGCGGAGTATCATATCACCCATTGTTGATGGGAGCCTGAGCATCCTCGCTCCCAAACATACCCAGTGCATAATAACTTCATTATTCTTCCCCGCCCTTAAGGCGGTGAAGTATACGGGAGAGGTTAATTTGTTAGCATGTAAGTCGACATGTTGGTTTCTTTGAAATTTCAAGCCACACAGTTACCGAAACGAAACATACAAATCATGTGAAATGTGCGTGAAATGTTGATGTTTATCTTTTCCAGCAATAAGAGATACTTCAAAATCGTCTTGCTATTCTGAGACTAAGTCACTTTTTGTAATGCTGATAACCCATGAAATTTGATCATTTTGTTTTTAAAAGAGCTAAAAATGATCCCATTTCGCTAAAGTTAACCGGTCTATGTTTTGTAAGAAGAAACAATTGCGCATTGAGCGATTATCTCCTTTAGCTATAGGCGTAGTATAGAAGTGATAAATCACGCACTGACCTTGCATTGCTGTACATCGTATCTTATTCAACTCTGCATAGCGAATTGCAGCGCCTTCGGCGACTGGGCCAACCATGCCCCCGTAAACAACTGTAAGAAACTATTATACAACAAAGATGTTTTAGATGAGATATGTATTGCGGAAAATTCCATGAAGAAACAGTGGCAATATTACACAATCACAAACTACAAAATACATGCACAATAAACGACAATTAAAAAACACAGGAACATTCAACATTCAAAGGAGGTACATTATAACAATTTTATTTAAAAAACAAGTGTATTATAATGATATGGAAACAATATGAGAATTGAACAAAACTATGGTAATGTTGTACATACATGTACAAGGAATTTGTTTGTAATTGTTGATATGTTAACAGATCTTGCAAGTTGTTTCTGGATAACTGTTGGTAAACTTATTAAGAATCTGCTCCTTTTAACAGAGTGTACCAAATTCTTTATATGATTGGGGATTATTTGTGATTCTCTTTCTTGGTTGTATTATGTAAGACAGTGCGTAATGTTGTTCATCTTCTGAGACATCACATGTTTCACAGAGACGTTGTTCAAATGGGGTTGGTGTTTTTGTATATCTACAATTTTTTTCAATTTTTAGTTTGTGATTACTTAAACGAAGTTTTGAGAAAAGTGACTAATGGCCTTTGTTTTTACAATATGTAAGATAATTCTCAATATCTATAGATAACGTGACCAAACTGTATGTTCCTAACTTGCTGCTAGATAAATGGGAATCCATTAATGATTGCGTGAATTTTTACATTTGAACTGAAGTATATTTAGAGTGGATTCATTACATATTTTGTGTTTACTATTTTAAAAGTTTGCTTTATTTAACCCAACCAACATTTTGACCAGAAATATTGATATTTGCTGCAAAAGCATGCTTTAGAATGACATTTGTTGTGTTATCTATATAGTTTTTTTTTATTGGTACTAATAGTGGGTATTTTTAAGTTTTGCCTGACAGGCCCAGTTTTCTTGCCTGGGTTTTCTTTGTGCTGACCAATTAAAGACACTGTTTCTTTTAGTGTCCTTCCAAAGATAAGTACATTAATAACAACCAATTTGTACTTAACACAAATTCTCTCCTCCCATAGCTTACACTTCCTTCCTCTGCACATAACATTATATGTCGGGGAGCTATTGATGCTCTGCAGCAATCTCTACTTGTCTATATTAGATAACACTTTAAACCAACAATGTGGTTGGAGTTTGTTATCTCATGTGTCTGACTGCCTTCTCGGCTGGATTACGGAAGTTCCGATTTGGCTCTAGGGCGTGATAACTACAAATGTATATGTGATCCTCTTGTTCTTAGGCGATTCGCTGTGCAGAGTTGCGTCCCTTGGGCACGCTAGAAACCTATGGTCGTGGGTTCGAATCCCGGGTAACAGGGATTATGTTTCTAGGTTTGTCAGCACCATGCACGTGCTCGTGGGTTTGACCGTAGTGGTTAAAACCTGGGACCCGTTTCACAAATCGATCTTAGCGCAACGACTGTCGTAAGCCTATGTTAAAGTATGGGAGTTACGATCATCTTACCGTTAAGATCGCTTTGTGGAACAGGGCCCAGCATCACTAGTCAACTTAACAACTAGTGGGCTGGCCTACCCGCGCACACATTCTCGAAAGCAAGTCATGGATGTTCTGGAGAAAAACAAAACCATTATTTATCTGACCATTGTACACAGATTAATAGACAATATGTGAAATATGCCTAGTGGTCTGAACGACCTATAGAGGTTATCACGCGAGTGTGTTTGGGGATGGTAAATATCCTGCATTAGGAATAAACATTGTATTAAGCGAGCCTTGGCGAGCTAAATACGTGGTGTTTATTCCTAATACAGGATATTTATCATCCCCAAACACACAAGCGTGATAACCTCTTTATCATATAATGTCATTCTTTAATTCTGTGCTTCAAAATCGCTTTCCCTCTCTCACAAACATTACCGAAACATTGCGACTTTTTCCTGGAATGCGCGCATTTTAAAGTACAATATGTGATTTAACCTACCAACCCCGATATCTGTACACCAATGTACAGAGCAAAGCTTCACATATAAAAAGCTACCCCATGCTACCAAATCTCTCAACTGTCATGATGACAAAGTTGATCGTTTTCCTGTGTGCCCCTGGTGTCAAATTCTTTAGGGTTCAGTTTAACCCTGAACATAATTGGGAATATTGAAACAATTATATAGGATGCATGGTACGTCTTGACATTTGAACGCACTTTGTGACAGCGCACACAGGACCTCCTTGCAACATTCATCTGCATTCGCAAAACATATCATCAGTTATATGATTGTGTGTTGACACATGTGAACACACAGATAGTGAAAGGGATATGTCAAGGAGTAGGAACTATATGGATGAATTGATTACAATTGATGTACATAACACAACGCGATGTGAAGCTGCCTAAGGCTCTTTGTATTGAATATTGTTCTGTGTGCAGAGTAACTGGCTTCGAGTTGTGTTGAAACGTGATCTATGAAGAGGGGAATGTCCGAGTAACTCTCCATTTCTTAAAAATAATGGAGCAGAGGCCCCGCAGGGGCCGAGGCCCATTATTTTTAAGGAAATGAGAGTTACGAGGATATTCCCCTACTTAAAACTCATCCCTACTTTTACACTTTGACAAAAGTTTCTGTAGTTGAAAATATTTGAAAAATTCAAATGCTGCTTCAAGATAATGTACAGTTGACAAGCAACTCTCCATTCCTGAATAATAATGGAGCGTTTAAACAATAGAATGACGTCACAGATGTGTTTTAATTCAAGGTAATGTGTGACGGCCTAGGGCAATCCACTCCCTCTGTTTAGCATTACATTGTGTTCCCAACACTGCTCGCTAGCACAATATCAACAGGAGCATCAGGGCACAGCCATTCTCCAGGCAGGCGAAGCATAGCTATTTGGGTGTGTGTGTGTGTGTGTGTGGGGGGGGGGGGGGGGGGGGGGGGGGGGTAGAGGTGAGGACAATTGATGTAACAAGGACATGATATCTAGCTGTCTTATTGCCGTCTGTTAGATCGTCATACCATGTGTAGTACATGGACATTGAAGTGTGTCTGTTTAATGCAAATGCCATGGCGTAGGAACTAGGTGGTAATGCACGTCATATTATTACCGACTGTGTGGTTTACTCATACACATCTCAACCACGAGTGAGTGAGTTTGGTTTTACGCCGCTTTTAGCAATATACCAGCAATATCACGGCGGGGGACACCAGAAATGGGCTTCACACATTGTCCCTATGTCGGGAATCGAACCCGGGTCTTCGGCGTGACCACTAGGCTACCCGACCGCCCCCTTATCAAGTGTGATAACATCATTGACACGGGGGTATTTATCAGTGAGTGAGTACGGTTTTACGCCGCTTT